CCCATGAAGCATTTTCATGTTTTTTTTTTAAATGACTCCCTGGTAACCCCTAGCAGTGATCCAGGTTCCTGGAGTTTTTTTTTTTTTTGCTCAACAACTTTGGTCTCCTCCCCCCCGTCTTTTCTTTCCTTCAACACGATTTTTTCCCGGTGGTTTTTTTTTGGGGGGGGGCAGTTCGGTATTTTTGTTTGTCATCTGTCAACCCTATATCTTGGTTTCATTTTCTTTGCAACTGAAACACTTGTAAACAAGCCTCCCAAACCTCATGTTCTCCTGGGTAATGTAAGGAGGCAGTATGGTCTCTGGACGACCTGCAAGGGGAAGTTCCCCTACAGACCCGTTGGTGGGGGTCGTCACAGCACCCTGGCCCCACCACCAGGAAACAGAAGGGTGGGGCCAGAAGATTAAGAGAAGGAAGGCCCCACTCAGTTGATATTCCACAGTTGTCCCCTGCAGTATCTGTTGCAACCTCCTCTGCAGCAGCTGGTGTTTGCCAGGAAAATGGCTAGATGGACCTTGGTCTGATCTAGGCTGGTAAATCTGATGTTCCTAAATGAGGCAGCTAAATTCACATGAAAGCATTTGATTTTGAGAAGTGTGGAACACCTACACTTTGCAAGGAACCAAGAATTTTTCACAAATGTTAAAGTGATTAAATGTGCCCAAGCAAAACTTCAGTCAATGCCATAAAACATCTGTGCACATACAACAGAGAACAGCGCAATGAGAACCCCAACCGCCTGATACACCAGGAACCAGAGATGTGGGAACAATTTATATAATGGGAGTGCTGAGAGCCACTGAAAAAACTGTAAACCCTGTATATGCTGGAAACCACTTCAAGCTGGGGATGCTACTATACCCCCAGCACCTCTATTTCCAGTATCTGTGCCAGAAACTATGCATCACGTGTAGTAAAGCAGTTCCTGTAGAAACTTCCTTTAGGCTAGGTAAAACAAGATGCTTGTTAGCAACATTCTCCTCTAAGTACTACAAAATCTGGGCACATTAACCAGTAAAGAAACCTTCCACTTACCCAGGAGCAAAAATATTGTTTCTACATGTCATTTGAATCAGCCAGAAGAGGCCTAAAAGTTACCACCTATTTCCAAAACACTCATAAAACATATGAATTTATATAACCTTCCTCAAACTCTGTGGTTTCCTGCCATCTGCTGCCTCCTCAATTTCCTGAATCATCAATCCTCTGATACATGCTACAACAGTGTAAAATGGCTTAAAGTGATGAGATAGTTAGATTAGACACATTTACACTGCCTACACTACAGGACTGTAGTGCATTTGTAAACATGAAGGCCCCAACTGTGTGTCAATCTCCCACCCTGTAAAATGGGGACAACCAATGACACCTGAATCAGGCATGGCCAACCTGTGGCTCCAGAGCCACATGCGGCTCTTCTGAAGTTATTATGCAGCTCCTTACGTAAATACCAAATCCCGGGCTGGAGCTACAGGTGCCAACTTTCCACTGGGCCAGAGGGTGCTCACTGTTCAATTTCCAGCTCTGCCCTAGGCACTGTCCCCCTTCACCCTCTCCCCCTAGGATCCTGTCGCTTTCTACCCTCTCCACTGAGCCTGTCACACCCACGCTTCCCCCCTCCAGTATCTCCCACTGAAGAAGAACTGATCACAGTGGGCAGGAGGAAAAGGGGGAGGTGGCACTGACTGGTGGGGCTGCCAGTGGGTGGGATGTGCTGAGAGTGGTAGTGGGGAGATGATCAGGGCTGGTGACATAGAACTGTTGCTCTTTGGCAATGTGCATTGGTAAATTTTGACTCTTCAGGTTTAGGTTGGCCATGCCTGCCAGAATCATCTCTGTTTTATTGGTGGGAAACAAAGGCACATAGAAGTGAAGGGATTTGCTTACGGTCACAAAGCCAGGAAATTGGGAGGTCTTACCAGTCCTGGGCGCTAGCTCTCATTCTGGCTTCTAGGCTCAAACTAGTGTTGTTCAGAGCCTTCAATTAACTCAGTGTTCTGCGCTTAGCACCTGAGTAAGGGCAGGGCTGGATGGCCTTTACCTGTTGGGCTGTAAGGAGCAGGTACTTAGTACTATGGCTCTTGTTTAAATAATTGTTAACAGTCAACCGGAAACCAATATAAAATCACTGCTGGTAAAATGTGTGGGTGAATACGGTTGCCAGGTGTCCAGTATTCACCCGGACAGTCCAGTATTTTCACCTCCTGTCCGGTAAAAAAATTCAGAGAATACCAGACACCTAAAATGTCCAGTATTTTCTGATTTTTTTCCCTGGGCAGGAGGCGAAAATGCCAGGCACCTGGCAACCCTACAAACACTCAATGCCCGGCCTCCCTGAGCCCCCAACACCCCCAGACCTCCGACCCCATGCTTACCTGGTTCCGCAAGGCTGCCAGCACAAAATGGCTGCCAGCAAAAAGACCAAGGGGAAGCAATGCCACCTTGTCTTAGTGCAATGTCTTAGTGCTCAACTACTCCCCTGTTCCTAGCCCTGCACTAACTCTTAAAGGGGTCAAGATGTTTAATGCTATTTTGTTTTATTTTATTTATTTATTTATTTTTGCATAATAAGTCTTGGAGTCCTTTTTTTCCCCCACTGTGTTTTTTTTTGGGGGGGAGGAGGGTTCAGTATTTTTGTTTCAAACATCTGACAACACTAATGACAAAATACTAGCAGAGTGGTAAATAAGGCTAAGGCCAGGGCAGTGACAGAGTGATC